GGGTGATTTACCCTCTTTACTCCGCCGCGACACCGACCGTGGCTCCCGCGGGAGCTCGACCGAAGGGCCTAGGTGGAAGGGAGTAAAACGAATCGTACCGCCGTACAGAATCCCCTTATCCGTGACTGGAGCACCGGGGAGAGATTGAAAAGTTTTTACGCGAACGCGCCCCCTCTTCTCGCTCAACGTTAACGTGAAAATTCCTACGCTCGATCGAATTGATTATCGCCCCGGATGTTTTTTCCCCGCCGAGACGACACGCCGCGCGAGAAGTCTTTTTTAACGCTTTGACGGCTGTTGTCAAGCGTACGTGACTCTGCCAAACCGACTGTTACGGCTCGATGTCACGTAGACGAAACTTTGCTCGCCCTATTCAGATCGGCGTACTTTATTCAGATCTGTGGCGTCCTTTCCTACCCTCGCAGCGACATTGCTACATTTATAACGTTACTCGTGACTTATTTTGGCTGGTCCAATGAAAACATTTTCTGTCGCGCGGATTCGATCGCTCAGACTCGCGAGGGTGAATCCCCCAACGTGTACTTCGCAGATTTTTATAAAACTTTCATACGATACAGTTCTTTAAAGAAAAGTTCTACAGGAACGGTTTCTTATTGGCAATAGTCTATATTGAAGGGGTGAAAACAACCCCTGGAAGTTTAGACCGAGGAACGTATTTCGTCCGATATCTGGGAAAGTATTAGGTGGAGGAATGAAAGTTTGAATCCGAAGATTGTGGATTTTTGATCGATGAACTACCTACGTAATTTTTAATAACGAAAAGAAAAACGAGGGCAACGGTATTAACACGTTGTTACAACAAATACAGTGCGCTCTTCTATCTTGAATTTCACGTTGTTTAGAAGTTTAATAAGGATTACACTCCGAGATGTTCCCTTGTCAGTCTCAGTTTCCAGGATTTGAATCTAGCATTACCCGAAAGTTTTAATTACTTTGTATTTAAACTTTCAAAATATGCGCCGTTAAAAAGAGAAATCCAACTGCGGAGAATTTCGCGGAGAGGTGTGTTGAAAATTACCATGCAAAATTAAAATATAAATCTTAGTTGTGTTTTGCAGACGGGCGAGTTTTGAACAATTCTACCCGCGGCGAGGAATTTTGCAGCTGCAATTCAGAGCTGTTGTGGTTACAATTAACTTTATTGGTGTACATTTTCGGGTACATATGAATATAGAATTCAGAATAAAATATTAACTTTTGCATAATTGAAATGTACGTGATTAAATATAAATTTTGCAATTAAGTTTCGAGAATATAGACATAGGTAAATTAGTCTCTGGCGTTCGTCGAGTATGAAACGAGCAGCGTAGAGAAAAAGTTTACCTTGCTGATAGAACGATTGTTGCGTTTTGAAAAATATATATCCGATAATTTCCGGCAGTGGGCAGAGTTTTATAAAAAATTAGGCGATTTTCCTTGTTAGAGCGACTTGGTGAAAAGTGTCACCAGCAGCCGAGAGTTAATCCAAAGAACGTTGAAATGGGAACGATAAAACTGAGACGCGTCCTGCACGAAGTTTCGAGGGTCAGAAACGTTTTGAGAAATCACGTTGCACGGGTTGGCATGCTTTATTCGAGGGCCGCGTCGCGCGATAGCCATTGTCGCGATAATAACGACACAGCCCCGAGATCTTCTCGGGGACAAAGCTTCGGGCGAGAGCAACCATTAAATACAGTGGCTGCCCGGAGGTGGGGGCCAAAGAGAAAAAACACAATGGACAGGCGACAATTTTATGTAAAGAGTGGTTTAACGAATGGCATTGTTATCATTTCGAGATGAAAAATTATGGAAGACCTCAAAGCGAATGGGAGACGAGAGACAGCGTGAGACAGAAAGGAAGCTGGGAGGAAAAGCGAATATCTGTACCGAGCGAATCGATAGCTCCTTCGCGATGAACGATGAAAAAAATGTCTGAATAAGTACTCGTGGGTCTCTTTGTCCGCTGGGTTATTCCTCTGCCTCCAGTTCAATGGATCGTGACTTTAGTAAACTCATCTCCAAGACTCTTGAATAAATACTTGCCTCGTGCATCGGGCTCTTTTAACCTTGGCCGGATCTTGGTTTACTTCTTCATCAAAAGGACCCTCGTTCGTCGTATCGTACGAGCAAGATCTACGGAAGAATTTACGGCTTCCGAGTAATTCGTTGAACGTTCATTTATTATCCCTGTCACGCTTCGGTCGGGCATTGAATTCTTTATATGGAAATAATCTAGAAGTCTGAGATTCGATTGGAAATTTGGAAAAAGTGGACAGAAGCGTTGCAAATTATTCATGCAGCGAGGAGTTTAAAAATTTACGATCGATATGGCGGATTTAAAAATGAACGCGCGTCGATCGAAGATGACCGGAAGGCAGTAATACCTTTTCACGCTACTATCGATAAAAAAACGGAAGGAAATCGTTAACTTTCTATTAAAATATCGACGAATCACGACCGGAAAGCTTGGAAATAGTTTGGGAATTTTATTTGATTCGTGTGTTGTGTCTGGCAAAAAATAATTGAGAAATTCCAGCGTTTGTCGTGCTATTTTCAAAGACTGGAGCATTTTTAAATACGTTTTATTCGTAATTCCATTCTTCAGCGGAATCCGGTCCAAATATAAATCGAGCGTCATTCTTTTTCTATTGAAAAATAAACGATCAAAATGTATTTAGAGTTGAATGCGCCCACTTTGCTAGCATTCTAATAAATCTCCGATATCGTGAAATATTTTGTAAGCGTGATAGTAACTTCTAGCAATTTATACGCGAAATTAGATTCGAATAAACGCGAAATACAGAGTTATGATCTCGAGTAATACGAGATATGTATAACTTTCTTTAATTACCATTTAATCGAAGCTTCGATAATATCGCGAGCAAATATAATTCGGTCCTCTCGAACCGTCTCGTAAAGCACGAACGAAAATTCTAACACGTACGATATTCGTGTACGAAACACTTCGGTGGTGTGGTCGCGTCGAACTTGGTCGAACAGTTGGATGATAAAACGTGAGTTCTCGATCGCCTTTTAAACTTCGACGACTATAACGACGATTATCACGGCGATAGTACTCGAACAAATTTCGAAATAGCGCCAACTTTGTTTTCCACAATGAGCCTGTGCTCCGTTCCTCTCGATAACAGGAACGAGACGTTTCTTGCACCGGTGGTGTTTCTACGAATTTAGCTTGTTTGTTCGCACTTCGATCCCAGTAATCGCGTTTCTATAAAGGGCTTTTATCGATATTTTTCCCCCTTCGTGCGTTGTGTTCCTCGCTCAAACGCAATTTAATCGAATTACCGGTTACTTCATGGATTATCGACAATTAGTGGGAATATTTATTTCTGATAACGCTCTTAGCTCGCAAGTGGGAGCCGATTATTAATAACCGAGCATAGAAACGTTCCCTTTCACCCCGGCTCGTCATTTAGGGCTCTCAGCGTATTATTTATCATTTTAACGAGACGAAGCAAATATTGCTCGTAATGAGGGCTTGTTCGGTGCACACTTTGGAAGCTCGTTATTGCGGAACGGAAATAGATGACTCGGCCCTGCAGAATGCGGAATTATTTTGTACAACTCGTTGCAGACGCGTCAATTTCCTCGACGCTGGTATTTCATTTTGCAAGTTACATTTATTGCGCGAAGAAGCAGAGGGACTCAACGGTTCGCTGGATTCTGGAGAAAAATCTCCTCGTTCCGTCCACGAGAGAATACACTTACACGCGGCTCGCCGCAAACGAGCAACGAAGAATAATTTGCAGACTTCGCCTGACACACGTCGCAGAGGTATTTCGAATGAAAGAGAGCTATACCTCGCGGTATAACGTCCCCATCGTTTGTACCTGTTGAGGCCACCGTGATCGCTGACCATTTCTATCGACTTAAACTTGGAATATCATATTGGAGGTAATTAAAAATTTTATCAGGCTTATTCTGCTCCCGATCACACGTTCGTGCATATCCTAAATTCGGAAAAATTAACGAAATTATGGGAATTGAAACATAACCGCGCGCGGGTGAAGTCGCTCGCTTAAGGGATCAACAGTTAAGAGCGTTTACTTAAGGGATCAACGCGAAGGTGATTCACTTAATTTTTTGGTACTTTTATTCGCATTAAGCGAAGGACACGATGGGATTAAACTAATCACCAACTTCCAGCAGCGAACTTTGTTACAGTACACACGGTTGCGCGGGTGGGAGCGTCGTGTGTCGCGGTGTTCAACTTCCGCGCCGTTTTTCACGAAACATTTTCCTAACTGGTGTCCCTGGAAACTTCGTTACCAACCCATCGTTCTTCGCGAAATTAGAGACACGTTATCATAATGGTCAAGATCGTCAGCAACCCTCGTTACAACTTCCAACATCTATTTATCTTTATGGTTTTTAAAACGTGTTATCCTGAAAAAAACAATTTTCAGGGTAGCTTAAATTCCCGCCTCTAACGACTCGAAACTTCGCGTACAAATTCTGGCCGCGTAGTGTATTAAGCGAACTATTTGTTTGTAACCAACCGCGGGTATTAAATTGATCGTTAGGCAGGAGTACATATTAAACCGGATCCCGGCGCTAATCGTCACCCTCGAGAACGAGTTACGAGCGCGCATAAAACAAGCAATGAAACAAGCGGTAAAAGCTCGTTCGGGCAAAGATGAGCCGGGAGGGATAAGGAGGAAGAAAAAGAACGTCGGTGGACGTGGAGAAGAGAACGAGGAGGGCGCGAGAGAACAGATACGGTTGGACGAAAGGAGGAAAAAGGGTGGAGGGGTCTCGCACAGGCATCTCGTCAAAAAAGATGAAGTCACCGTGGTTTTGGGGCGGCACAGAGTCGAGGGGTGAGTGAGTTCTTTAAGGCAGGGGGCATGCGCGGCGTCCGGGGGTGCAGAACGGCGTCGGGGGTTAGTCGCTTGCCAACAACACGACGCGTCGCTCGCGCATCGCGATCGCTCGGTTTACCCAGCTACACACAGTCTTCTCCGACGCTTTCGCGCATCCATCGACACGTCGAGTGCCCTCCGCGCGCACCCGACGGGTGCTCGAACGCGAAACCGCGCGCGGTTCTCCTCTCTTCCGGTTCCCCACGCGGAACTTGCCGCTCAGACGCTCGTCGGTGAGACGGGGAGCAAAGTTTCGATCCAACGATCGAAGGTGTTCGCCGCCCTTCTGTGTGCACCGTCCTCCGAGTGACGTTGAGATGAGACCCTGACCGGAAGTATCGTAGGCGCTTCGCGAAAGGAGCTGACGGCAACGGAAACCGTCCCCGAACGCTGGTGATCCTTCCATGGTGGAGATCGAAGCGATCGTTCGCGAGACGAAGGTGCACGGAACTTCGCGAGAGATCGAATGCGTCTTTCGATCGTGCACGACGCAACAGTGCTGTGATACAAGTGGACCGGAAGTCATCGCGAGAGTACTGCAACGTGTTACCGTCACTGCAGTGAACGACGCGAAAAAGTGCGCGTAACTTCGATCGGCCTCGCGGTAAGACTGCATCCACGTCGCTTTTTGGATCTTACGCGGCGACGACGACCAACAGACCCCGAAGGTACGACTATTTCGAGGCTAGTCGTCGAGTGGAAACGCTCCGCGCGATTCGATCGACCAAAACGCTTTGTAACGGCACCGAGCTCGTTCCTTTGACGGAAACTCTTAAGCGTTACGAACCTTGCGCTCGAAACAAGTTGCATTTCCACTCTGACGTCGACCGTGTGGGCTCGAACGCGTCAGACGCGTTTCGACGATAATTCGAGGTTCGTTTAAAAGCATCCACCTCGAATTACACGATAATAGTAAATCAGAGAAGCTCGAACGAACACGTAGGTTTTTATCCTGATTGCTATCGTCGTACGAACCACACCAGCGTTGCAATTACATGCGTTACGTTGCCCGTAAAGTCACGATTCTCGCCTAACTCGAGGAAATATATTACGTAACGCGGGCGTACATTGTCACTAATTACGGAACTTTGTTTCCCGCTGAACAATGAAATCACTTTATTAGCATAATGTGCAACGGGCTCGGTGTATCGATATCGCGAGCGTTCTCAGTCGGTTTCCGTGATTTAATTTCGAAATCTCGCTGGGCTGGGGAATTATTCATAAAAGGGATCGCGCTTCTACGTGAAAAATATAGCGCGAATTATCACGGTCCGTGCAAATTTTCGCGACGAATAAGCAATTCAGCCTACGCGCTGAATAAGCGAGACTCGCTCGGAAAATTTATGTATACACTCCGGTAAAATTTTCTCTGATGACGGGATTGAATCGTCTGGAGATTTCATCGCGCCCGTAGCCAGGCGAAACTGAAAAAACTGCGCTCGATCGAGCGCCGTCTAATTCCAGGCGGGTAAAAAGATATTTCGCTCCTCGCGCAGGGATAATATTTGCACTACACTTGTTCGTGCTTCCGAATTTTGCTTTACTTCGTTTCCCGGGCTACGCTATTTGTTCATTTTAATAACAGCGGAAGCAATTCGCGCGAGTCTAGCGTTATTTAAACAGACTGTTCTACAGGTTTCCGAGCAAACTCTGTACAGTGCATTTTGTAACCGAAAATAAGACGAAAATATAGTGCAAACGCGAGTTCTAAATGCTTGATTAAAAACCGACATCAGAAATATGAAAAAGAAATTGTGTATTTTTCGAATTGCGAGATTACTGTGCTCAGGAACATTATTTATTCGTTTGTTTACGGTAAGGTTCTCGAGTGCGTGTAAAAGAGCATAAGAAACGAGGCGACAGAGATGGATTTACCATAGTTTGTTAATAATGAACGAATAATGACTGTGCTTTTCTCTTACGTTAGAATTACAGATATTGTATGCTTCTGTAACGCCGATGACCTAGAAAGTAAGCTAATTTTATCGCAATATGCTGAAGTTAGCTACGTTTACAGATATTCAAATTATAATCTAAGCTTTATAGGCTGCAACTCGACCGAAAATCTCACGCTGCTGGGAATATACTTCCAATTGTGATCTGGTTCTCGAAATAACTGTTTACGATCCCTGAAATGTCAAAGCTATTTTTAAATTAATAGTATGCAGTTCTCCAGCAGTGGTTACAGAATATCGTTAAAAGTTCTGTAATAGAACGGATGATAATTTTACGAGATTCTTGTCTTATTTTTAGCCGCGAAAACCCTTGTCAAAGATTGTACGAGAGACATTTTCCCGTGGAATCTGCCAAGTTGACATCGATCTCAGCCATCGCGTGTAGTACTTTTCGTTGCAACTGAACAATTTAATGCCGGAATTAATTGAAATCAGGGGTGGGTGGTCGTTCGTGCGGCGTTTCTCGCTCGCGATCGCGATGTGCTTTTCGTATCGGTCGATTTTATTCCGGTGTGCTCGATAAATACCGTAATCTCGAGTCACGCCGACGCAATTACCGTGAAACGTTAGGAGGGACACTCGCCGTGTAATTTGGCGTGGATCGTTCCAGTAATTCTTCCTCCGTGCGTGACGCGAAGCGAACCGGGATCGTATGGAACCGGAGAGGCCCAGTTTTTCGGACGGAAGTTTACCTCGACGGGGGTTATCGTTCCGCGTAGACGGGATTTCGAGCATAACGTCCACTCGAGCCGGACCGATTCACCTGGCAGTCAACAATTCGTCTTCATTCCCGTAGCGTAATTTCGGCAATTGGTTTCCATCGATCGAACAGGACCCCGGTTATTTCGAAATAGAGAGAACGCTTCGACGATGGACATCGGCCGCGACGCTGTTTTCTCGCACAACAGCCCAAGAGGAGATTACGCGACCGCTCGTTCTACGACGAGTTTAGAAACAATCGATCGCGCCGGGTTTTCGAGCGCCTCGCCCTGGGGACGCGTCGGTTTGCTGATTTTTTTCCACGGCCGCGCAAATAAATTGCTCGCTAATTGCGAATAACGCGGAAATTTAATTAGCGCTTCCCGTATCGCGAAGCTATTTTATATACGTCGCGCTCTGGGGCCCCCTTGTTAAACGCGCGACGAGTCCTCCTCGATGTCGCTTAAATTATTTTTCCACGCTTTCCGAACATTCCCATCGCTCTCACGCCCGGAAGATTTTTGATAAAGCGAAAAGCCAACTTCTCCGACTAATAAAAAATATATTGCCTAGTTGCTTGACGATAGACCGACAAATTTAATAATCGCCGTTCGTTTAATTTCTGTTGGCGATGTTTGTGAAAATGCAGCGAATTCCAGGAGGCTGAGATTAATAAATTCTCCGTTCCATTCCGCGCGCCGCGTCCTCGGGACGTAAATCATCGACGAATCCCGGCGAAGTCGTCCGCGATTTGATAACGGCCGTTCTTTCGCGACGAGTTCGCAATTACAGTGTTAATTAAACGTGGGAATAGCCCGAGCCTTTAATAACTGCTAATCCCGCATTATTACTGGACGTCGATGATAATCGTTCGGGATCGTGCAACGCTCGACGATAGCTAAATTGAATTAATATAATACGTAGGCAGCTTGGCGGAAGCTTGTGTGACCTAGGGGATGAAAGGGTCGGATGGAATACGAACGATATCTCGCCTTTTCTGGGACCCGTCGATATCGACACGATCGCGAAGGGGGCACAATGGATAGATAATTAATTACTTTGATTACGATTAGTGCCAGCAATTCGGCCACTTTGTTAATTGCGATTCCATTTATCCGCGATTGTGCCAAAGTCTACCGCGGGAGAGCAAGTACTAAACGAAACTGTTTCATCCATTGTACCGGGATTTTCATTCATTTTCGAGGATCGAACGACGCGGGTGAAGTTACGTGAAAATGGTCGTTCTTGTGATTTTTATTCACAGAAACCTATGAAAAAATTCATAGAAATACATTCAGTTTACAGGGAATCAGTGGTTGCAAATAATTTAAAGAATCTGCGTCAGGTTTCCCAACAAAGCAACCATGTTAAAATATTCAAGCAAGAGTTGCATTAATTTCCCGTCACGAGCAGAAACATTTACTCGAAATGATATTTAATGGGGAAAACAGAGACGAATTCTAATTTTTACCAGCGATAATTATTTCAATATGAACGGACACGATGGTGGATATTTGAGAACAGAATTATTTTTAAAACATTGGCAAATAGGAGATAGTGAAATAATTATATGAACAAAAATTCGTTACCATTGTAAAACCAATATGACGTTCCTTCCGTTTGTAGAAACAGTGAAAAATATGTAGAATTAATAAAATGCATAGAATGAATTTTCAGTGGAAATTATATTCTTCGAAATGATGTTGACAACGTAATTCAGACACTTTCTTCTTGATAAAGTAATATTCATTTTTGTAATATTATTATTATTATCTTTCAATTGAGCGTAATACCCTGCACGATATTCTATCTTTATATTCAGCGCGTTGTATCGAACTTTCTGTAATACCTTGTTCGGGAAGAGTTACAGTACGTAAACCCAATATAAGCACGTGTTCTTTTCAATATTAAAACCCTTTCAATTCATCATGATTTTCTGTACAGCGTATTATCCTTACGTTCAACATGTTTTAGTAAAATAAGAGTTTAAATTGAAAGTTAAGACCTAATAATTATTCGATTATGCCGTGTTCTTTTCAATATTAAAACCCTTTCAATTCATCATGATTTTCTGTACAGCGTATTATCCTTACGTTCAACATGTTTTAGTAAAATAAGAGTTTAAATTGAAAGTTAAGACCTAATAATTATTCGATTATGCCGTCATTTTACCCGTTTCGAATAACTCGCGACCAGCTGGGTAAATTGCGAAAGAAAGGCGACGCAGGAACGGTGCTTTTCATTTTCTCCGTCGTTTCCGGTCGTCTTTCTCGCGTTGGAACGTGACCCGCAGGTGTCGGTGGTTGTAAAAAATTCCATTTCAACGGTGGACGTTGACGCTCGGGAGCCAATAATGATTCTTGGCCGTTCCGGATGCCTTTTCTCTCACCTGAGAGAATACTGGCCGAATGTTCGACTGTCAGCCTAATGGCGCCCAGGCGACAGCAATTTTTCTCGCGCGTTTTCGTTCCACCTTGGCGCGTTCTATATACGCGGACAACGCGGGTATTACGGCCGGATACGGGCAACGTCGTGTTTTTCGTGGAAATTCGCCGGACGTACCACCGAATTACGGTATTTCTGATAGGTCACCGTGTTTTATCCGGTTTTCGTGGATATTCGGTTGGTCATGTAATTGGACGCAGATGCCGCGGTGGCTTCCTGGAAGCGCAGATACGCGCGGTGTATTCATTTATGTACACGTAAGCCCGAATAACCGAACGAACTTTGCGTTTTATTTTACGCGACGTAACGTGTGTACCGGTTCCCGGATAAAAGTTCCACCGTGTTAATAGTAATAAAGTTCCGGTATATGCGTGACAAGGAAATCCCTGGTAATGGAAAAGTACAGAGATGCGGCAACTAATCCCTGTAATAATATCACGGTGGCTCCACGGTTCAACTATTTCGAATTAGGTCGGAGATAGAAGAACCCCCAACCCGTTGATTCCACAGCGTGGACTACGTTTGAATATACATGGAAATTTGAATCGATTAACCTACGATAATACATC